TCTTAAACACTAGTTCTCTTTGATGCAGACGTGTTTCCATGTTTAAGTCTCACATATATTCCTGATTTCACAGAAGGAAAGTATATTTCTGATATTTTCTCCTGAGTTGCTGATCCTTTTCTACCCCTGTGTTTTGACAACAAATTACTAAATGAGCAGATTTTAGTTAAAAATGTTCAGAGACTCAGAGGATATTAATAGGCTAATTCAGACCTTCATCTGGTATAAAAGCAAACTGCTAATTTAATACTGAGTTGGATTTCAAACAAATCTTTCAGAACTAGCTATCATCAACTGAATCTTCTGACAGGAGAGCTTCTTGTCCCTATCAGGAATATTTTCTAAACAAACGAAACAAAATATAGTTTAAATTGTGATTCCACTTACAGTAAAATGAAATACTTCACAATTATAGTGGTCCTTATTTCTTTTGTCTTGAATGCTCACTTATATAGTCTACAGGTTCTTGCTTTATATTCAGATCAAGCCAAAGATTTGTTATATAATTGAAATGGTTAATTACAATTAAATGAAAAATAAAACCACCATTTCTTCTTGCTTTATATACTGTGTATTTTATTTAAAGTTCTCAGCACACATTTGTTTGGCACTAGTAATGATACACTTTCAAACTGATACTAATTTAGACTTTTCAAGTTTTTTTTAAACAAATGTAATATTGTATAAATAAGCTTTTGTTACTGCACAAGCAATTAGAGAAATACATTCATGAAAGGTTCAAATGAGAATTTGTAGAGAACTATTTGCATTTAACTTGTTCTTGTTTGCTACTAATGTACCAAAAAGATTTCTAACACAGATAATTTATTGGTGTTAATCTGAAACAGAAAATAATAGACTTTAAGTGTGCCTTTTCATAGTAATCGCATATTTCAATGAAATGTCATGCACATTTTTTTCCAAAACTTGCAGCATTCCATGCCAAGAAACTTTCCTAAACATCTAAGGAAAAATAATTGTTATACTTGCAGACACATTTTTAAAACTCCGTAAGAACAATTTTTTTGCCTGAGCAAAAGATACCAGAATAAAAATAAAACAAATACTAAAAATCAGAATATATTTATGAAGGCAGAAACTTTGAGCTGATGTAAAAAAAAACAAACTACAGAAGCTTCCATTCTGCATAATGCCTCAACCATCTACAAAAAATTGCAGCTGTCTGAAGTGACTTCAGAAAGAAATACAACCATGTTTAGGGAAATATTTAAGAAAAACTACACATTTATAAAACTGGCTGTGTTCTTAAACTGCAGGAAAACTGTTGCTTAAGACATTCATTTTATAAAGACTTCCTTACTGGGTTTTTGTTGCAATTAGTAGCAACATTTAAATTGCCATGAGAAATTGTGTGTCTCATAGTAGATTGGTTTACCAAAAGTATATTTTTCCCCCACATTCAGCTAAGACATGGAAGTTTAACATTGTATGACAGTCTCCTCACACCATCTTCTTGAAGTGAATGAATGCAAGTCTATTTTCCCCAAGTAGATCAATGATTTAGCCTCCTCTTCTGTTTGCATTCCCTAAATACCTTGCATCTGGAATGCTCCACCAAGGGGAAGTCCTTTGACTGATATTCTTTCTTGTTTCAGATCTAAATTAAAGACTTCCCTCTTTGTTTGGATTGTTTTTAGGAGAGGCTCCCTTGATTTCGTTATTTTAAAGGGTAATGTTACATGGGGTCGGTCCTCTGGAAATTAATAAACTACAACAAAAGTATTTTGGTCAAGTTTTGAAAAAGATCTGAACTAAGTAGTGGTCAAAACAACTCATTTATTTTACCTGACTTCATTTATCTCAGACCCATTTCAATGTGAGGTTGCAGAGTTTTCAGATCAGTTGCAAAGAAAAAGTTTTGAAGGGCTTATTCTCTGCACTAGCAAGTTTCTTTAGAAATTTCACTGCTCTGTTCTTTTCACCTGTAAATTTCAAGCTTGAATTACAAACTGAATGCCTTAATAACATGCATATGGCCACAGCAGTTCCCCTGTAAAGAGTCCTCTGGTGAATTTAGTTTGGTTCTTGCAATGCAGCTGGAAGGGAGGAAACAAACTTTATCTTGATGAGCAGTATGCACATTTTTAAAAGAAGGGATCTCGGTGTAACAAACTGGTTTAGATGAAGTGGAGGTGAAACATCGTTTTTTAAAAGATTTTAAGACAAAAAGTAATTCACAAGTCATTTTTTATTAAGCTCCTAGGTATCGATTGCATATAATTCACACATTCTGTTGGGTATTACATGCAGTAGATAACTATCTTGGAGTGATTTAAAGTTTGTTTACTACCAACCTTTGCATGCAAACCCTCATCAAAGCAATCTTTAATATATAAATACTGTTTTAAAAACTAAAATCAACTAATGTAAAGATGGAAATGGATTTATAGAGAATAACCAAATTGTTAAGTAGCATATATTAGTAGGGCATGTAGCATTCAATTAGTGTCCAAAAAACCCCCCAAAACCAAAGTAAGAAGTTTAAAGAAATGGTTACCAAAAGAAAAGAAAATGTAAAGTATTTTTATATACCAAAGTTTCTGGGCGATTATCAATGCAGACATAATAGATATAATGCAGATAAAAATCCTTAAACAAGGATTTTCCAGATGAGTTTTACTTGATGGATTAAAATAACTGAAATGCCCTGCACATGTTACTAAACTGCTTTTGAAACCTATCCTTAACATAATTAAATACGTTGCAACGCCCCCCCAGTGGAAAGAAAACACGTATTGGTAAAAGTTATTAGGATCTGTTTAATTAAAGACACTAAAAAGGAAGACCCTGGTATAGACTCTTATTGGGAGTTTATAAATCATGTGTTGCCTGTCCGGAATGTGTTAATAACAAATCAGAAAAGGGCAGGGGATTCCCCCCCCCCTTTATTGTCTGTTTCAAACAGTGGCTCTTATTGGGTGTTGTTGTTTTTTTAAAGTCTAGCTAACTTTAAGAATGAGCATCGAGCTCCTCGGTTCAGTCGGCAGTTGTGCGTTTTGTTTTGAAATGCCACGCTTCAACAACAACAACAACAACAACGTGTAGCCAGGGATGATCTGTTTCTGCCCAGCATAATCTTTAAACCGAAACAACCTGCAGCTAGAGCGGTCACCCCCAAGCTTGCCAAGGAATGGGTTTATGCCACACTCATCCACGCCACTTAGCTGGCGGATTCCAAAGATGCAATGCACACATGCCTCCCTGTCTGCAACACGACCCACCAGCTCCGCACCGGGGCTTTTGCACCGAGGGGTGGCACGTTTAGAAAAAGATCCCAGCTAGCAAAGGGACTGGCCAACAACATGTTGCCTTTCGGGGGGGATAACGGGCGCCTCTGCTGAGCCACTTTTGCGGCGGCACCCCCTTTTTCCTTGGGAATCTGGAAGGGGAGTGTAAATTCTTCCTCTCCCGGTGTTTTACTGACGGGGCTGGCCTCAAACCAGGCTATGGTAGGAACTGAAAGAGATCTACCCCCATCTTGGTGACTTAACTTACAAGATCATGGACTCTTTCGCCTTTCCCCCTCCTCCCCCAGACAATGAAGGGAACTCCACTCCCAGGAGGCAGCTGGCAAGAACCTTCCCCACTCAGGATCAGAACGCGCGTGGGAGCCCCCGCAAAGGGGGGGACACACACGTGACGTTTGCCACGCGGGGGTGGGTGTGAAGCGGAAGCATTTTGTATGGAGGCTCAAGGGGGGTAGGGGGTGTTTGTTGGTTTCACAGCGATCAGCTACTACACACCGGCTTCCACTCCATTCATGAAATCTAACCTCAGTGCCTGGGGAAGGCATGAACACAAGGGGCTCTCTTCACACCCACTTCTCTTTTTTTTTTGCGGGTGGGGGGGGGGAATGATTTCGGCTGTTGCTATTTTAAACCGCCCCTAAAAATAAAGTCTGCAAAGAAGAAAGGCTGAGACTAGGGCAAGCCGGAAAAGGGGGGGGGCGATTGGGAGCTTGATGTCCGATTCCGTTGCAATTCAGAGAACCCCAGAGACGGGAAAGACGAATGAGCTCCCATCCCTTGGCCTGGGATGAGTGACATTTTCCAGGGTATTCGAAGCCCAAGCCATTCTTCCCCATCCCCCTGTGGCTACCATCCTGGATGGGTGCGACCCTCTCGCTTCTTGGCTGATAAAACATGCGCCCTTTGGAGGAAAAAAAGAAAAGAAAAGACCATGTGCATGGTCCTGTGTGTCTCCCCTCCCCCACGGTGCTCTCAACGCATGGAGCATGCAAAGAAGCACAAATCGCTGCAAGGGGGGGGGGGGAGAGCCAGGGCTTCATTCATTCACCCTTCTCTCCGCAACGTGGTCTCTGTGCCTGTCCTTCGTGCACAGAGGGGCGGTGAGTTCCTGGAGAAATTCCTCCCAGGGTCCCCAATATGGCTTGATTTCTCTCCCCCACCCCCCAAGCTTAGTGATCCCCGACAGAAGATTGCAAAGAATAAAGGGACACATCTCCCTGTCCGTCCTAGGGAGCCACCATAGATGAGATCAGCTCCCCCCCCCCTCCCCCAGCACCTCTTTTCTCCGGATCGAGGGATTTTTATGGTCCCCTTCCCCACGGACACTGCCTGCAAAGCCTCCCCCTCCCCCTGGCGCCAGGGAATCCACCTCTCTCCTTTGATTAAGAAGTTTACACCGGGCAAATCCCATTCAAGCCCTGGGAAGCCAGTGGGGGGAGGGTAGCCAGGCTGGGGGTGGGTGGGCTTGAGGTTTAGAGAAGGCCGAGAGGGAAGGGGGAGGGGGGAAACTGGAGGGACCCTCGCTGAGATGAAGCCAATGTCCCCAAATCTAAAGGCTGCCTTGGCCAATTGTAAATACAATAGTAATTTATTTATGATGATTATTTTTTTAAAATAAAGGGTCAGGCTCCCCCGGCTGTGCCCGCCCCTCCCACTGCAGGGGCTGGGCTTTCGGCACCACCACGTGGCTTCCTCTTGCAAACATTTTCACTCATTTTTTTCAGGTCGATTTTATTTAGAGGCGGTGCCAGGCAGTCTCACCAAACGTCCTGTGACACATGAGTGCGACTCAAAGGAGTTGGGGGGCTGGACGAAAGGCAGCCGCACTTTTCCCCAGCCCGCCATCCCAGTTGAACCAACCAACTCCCCCACTGAGCTTGTAATCACCAGGAATCCCACCTCCTCCCCCCCAGCCCCTGCCCAGAGGAAAAGCCTAAAAAAACAACCACCACCAAACACCCAACAACTCGCTTTCCCAGTTGCTGGGCTCCAGTTTGAATTGGGAACGTTCCCCCTTTTTTTAAAGTGTGGGGGTGTTTTTGGTTGTTTTTAAAGACTCTGTAAAGAAAAGTTGTTCCCCCCCCCCAGCCCTATCAACCCTCCCTCCCCCCCCTTCCCTCTCTTAACACCCACCCACCGACCATCCACATCTCTTGTGATCCACCATGAACAAGCTGTACATTGGGAACCTAAACGAAAACGTGACTCCAGGCGATTTGGAGAAAGTCTTCAATGACCACAAGATCTCCTTCAGTGGTCAGTTTCTGGTGAAATCGGGCTATGCCTTTGTGGATTGCCCTGATGAGCAATGGGCTATGAAAGCCATCGAAACTTTTTCTGGTAAGCAGATTATCTCTCTCTCGCTCTCTTCCCCTCCCCCCCCCTTTCTTCCTTTCTGGTTTTGCACCAAATCTCTTAGTCTCTGCAAAATAATACCGATAAGGGAAGGGGGGGCTCTGCTGTTCTAACCCCCCTCCCTTCTTTCTCACGGCTCCCCCAGTTCATCTCTGATGAACGCACCCACTCAGCCATGGCCCTCCTGTTTCGCCAGCGGGCCGGATCCCCTGGCGTTGCCCAGGGCCTTTCACGGATCGCCTTGAAACAACCAAAATCACGAAACAGTCTCCTTCTCCCCCCCCCTCACCCCACCCCCATCCAGCAAATCGGGTGGGTGCGACGAAGGCCACGCGGGGCCGGCACCAGCAAAGCCGCGCGTGGGGGAGCTGCGATCCCCGATTCCCACCCACCCCCCGACTAGCTTGGGAGACCGATTCTCCCCTCTGCTCCCCCCCTTTGCCTTCAGCCAGAGCACCCCGTATCCGGGCTGGGGGGGGGGTCCCCCTGGATCCAGCCCCTCCCTCCAAGCAGCGCCAGGCCATTCGGGGTTCCCAGCAGTCTTCCCCTGCCCCCCAGCTTGGCTCCCCACAAGGCGTGGGGGTCGTAATCCGTGTGTGTGTGGGGGTCCCATCTGCAGGAGAGGAGGGGGGCGTGGGACTTTAGCCATTTTGATTTGAACGTGGGGTTTCCTGGGGCATATGTGTTGTAGCGCGAAGGTCGCCATGCTGTGTTTCTCATAGAGAGAAACTACTAGGGAAGCAAATAATTTTTTTTTGCTGATGCCAGGATCGCTCAAACTCGGATCTTCCTTTTCTACCCCTTCTCCCCCCCCCCCCAATAAATAAATCAGTTGCAAGGCAGATCTCCCCATTTTGAAGGAAGAAATCCCTTCATTTCATTGAGTAACATTTTATCTTTTCAGCCCTGGTGTGAAAAAACTCTGCCCCTGAGAGCCCTACACACAAAAAGAACGGAGCTTAACATTTAATTCCTTTTTCTTTCGCTGAAACAGACTTTTCTGTTCAAAACACAGCTCGGGGCAAGCAAAGGACTCAAATGTCCCCAAGCAGCATTGTCCAGGGAGCTACTGGCCAGTACCTCCCAATGCTCCCGAGCTTGAAACCAGTTTTGTATTTAATAAAGTGCCCTGGTAGAGGAATCAGAACATGAATTTGTGCTGTGTGGACCATCGTCACTGGAATTAAAATGAAAAGGTTTAGGGGCAAGAATGTTACTCAAACCTTTCTGCATCCCACCCCTGCTCAGATTTAAAAAAAAGACACATTTTGTTTTTAGGGAAAGTGGAGCTACATGGAAAACAGCTAGAGATTGAACATTCAGTACCCAAAAAGCAAAGGTAATCGTGTTCTAATTCCTCTTATTTTTCCCTGTTGAAAGGTTATAGCTAAACTAATTGGGGGGGTGTTTTGGAGGGGGGGGGGGAATTTATCATCACAATTATGGGCCTGTGAAATTAAATTTAAGAGGGGATTATTGGGTTTTAGAGCTGCCCAAAGCTAGGCATGAGTCAATTCTGATGATCAACTTTTACATTTTGTCTTTGTTTGTTTAAGTTACTTTGAAAGTAAGTTTAAAAAAAAACAACCACCACCAGATACTAAATAGTGGTTTGGTGTATTGCTGAGATCTTGCTGAAGGCTCCCTGCTGTTTTGTTCACTTTGAAATGCCTTTTACACAGTTTTAAAATGTCTTACCTAATATTTTAAAAAAGTTAAATTGGATTTTTTTTAAAAAAATTGGGGCTTGTTTTCACATTTCATGCCTAGGCGTAGTTAAAATTAAGGAAATTGACCCAGCTTCTTGTGGAAAAGAACTCTCACTGAGCTATAATTATTAAATTTCCTCTATCTTTACTTTAAACACGAAAACGTGTCTCCCTTCTTTACAAGTATAATTTCTTCCACTAGATTTTTTTCAGAAGTCTACAATCTTCTCCATGTTCTTGGCCTTTTGTTGTTGGGTGTTCACTTTGGGCTGACAATTTATTCTGGTTACCAGCAGATATTTTGCAGTTTAGGGCAGATCCAACATGAAGAAGAAGAAATATTTTCTAGAAAAGATACATTTCCCCTACCCCACAGGAAGCAGGCGAGTTGGCCCAAAATACAAATAGTCTACGTTGAATTCTAGCAGAATCTGTAATATGCTTGATCCACGTGACCAGGCAGTTACTTCAACAACAGAGCAGGAGGGAGGTGGCTTCTTAAAAGATTGTTTTAGCTTTTTTATGACTGAAAAAATATACTTGAAGACTCTAGTGGAATCAGTCTTACTAGCAAAGGGTAAGCCTTAATTTTTGCTTTCCCAGCTCTCTTTTTTCCCCGTTTGTTGGCCTTTTAAAATTACCCACCAATATGTCCATTGAATCCCAGAGACTGCAGGGCTGAAAGCAGGGTGTTCTATGGGTCAGTGAGACCCAGTAGGTTTAGCTCAAACCTCAAAACCGATCTAATCATTTAATGTAAAATATTTTAGCAGTAAGCCCCCAACGCATGCATTGATGATCAATATTGCTTATTACAATGTTCAAAGACTTGATTGTGGTGTAAATTTCGATTGAATGAAATGTTGTTGGAAAGGCAATTACAATATGAGAGGTAACATTATAAAATCGAAAAAAAAGTCTGTTTTTTTTTTTTCCGTAGCACTGCTAGAAAATCAATAGGTTGTGTGGAACACAGTAGACTTCAAGCTATTTCTTAGTTCACTTTCTCCCAACCCTTTTCAGACTTTATTAACAGTATCAAAGAACAGCTCTACTCAGTAGGTTGTGTGGAACACAGTCGATTTCAAGATATTGCTTGGTTTGCTTTCTCCTAACCCTTTTCAGCCTTTATTAATAATGTCAAAGAGCTATTCTTAAATGTAAACACAGTGTAATTCAAACAAATTGTGGCTTAAAGTTTATAACAAGAGGAATCAGACCTAAGATTAGTTAGCAATTTTTAGTGAGAAACAAGAGAAATAAAATTAATTACATATAGAATCTATATGCCATAGTGTGGTGGTTTTATATACACACACACATATATATGTGTTCACACATACACACACTGTCTGCTTTATTTAAAGCTACAGAAGCCATTTTTGATGTTGACGTTCTCCTTAAAGTGCTTAACTTCAAACAACTTTTATTAGTACAATATTGTGGTGGTGTTCAAGTTGGATATATTCTCCTATCACTTAACTATGGTTTGATAAAGTAACTTTGTCTCAATTTCCTAAGACAGGCTTGTATTTCTGTTTTTTTCTAAAAATGTTAGTAAACTTGGAAATTGTTAGACAAATATAATCTTTACTAGATGGTATACCATATTTTTTCTCTTTTTTAAATACAGAGTGATATTATGTTAGAGGTGGTGTTTCTATGTGAGTTTGTTCTTCTGGTTGTTTTGAGTTTGGATTTTCCAGTCTAAAGACATATAGAACAGAATTAGTTAATTAAGTAGGATAGGCAAGGATTCAATCAGATGTTCTTACTGTGATTTCTTAAAAATAAAATGAAATAAAACCTGACAAGGTTGTTAAGTACAGAAATTTAAAAAAAATAAAGTTACATTCACTCATTTACTTTTCGGAGAATTTTAAAAATAAAAGTTGATTTATGGATTGGATCTGTTTGATTAGAAATTAAAAATAATAATGCTCAATAAGACTGAAGGATGAATGTATTTGATTAAACTTCATATAGTGAATGCATCTTTCATGAGGGTTTCCTTTCTTCTTTAAAATGTTTCTTCTCTTCTCACTTCTAATATAAATATGAATTAAAATATGCAGAATAAACTAACAGTACACAAGAGAATTGTTGGTATGTATTTCTGCCCCCAAAATATAAGAGAAACACATTCATTTTGTTAATGCTGATAGGAAACCATTTTAAATAAATACCTTTAAAATATTAGGTTAAAAAGAAAGAAAACACTCTGATGCTAAGTATACAATGTCATTGTTTGGAGATTAATAAAACTTTCAGTTTTATAATATTAATCTTGCTTAGGTTAAAGTTTCTCTCATTGCTATTCTGTGACTTTACTGAGGAGGAGTTGGCAAAATTAGGAATTATGGTTTAAAAAGAAAACACAAAAAACCTGAAAAATTGTGTGTGTGTTGAAAGGCTTACTGAAGAAATGATCCCTTCAATAAATGAGTTTTTACCCCCAAACCCCTATAAGATTAAGAAATGTTTTAGGGGGGTAGATCTGTCTGAAACTGAAAAGACTTTAAGTGGATAGATTTGAAAAAAAGAATGAATGAATAAAGGGTGGGGGGGAGAAAGAAAGAATGAAAGAAGTGAATCCATCAAGCAAACATTCCAAATATGAGGAATGTGGAAGTGAGTAGCCCAGAGAGAATGAAACTTAGTAATTGGGGGAAATAGTGAATATGGCTGATAACAGCCAATACACGTAAAACTAAAAGGATTTGCACAGGTTATTTTTAAGCAAAGGCAACTTGTAAAGAACAGATACAGTTAGAAAAGTTTGTCCCCCCAAACAGAAGAAGGAAATTTATTAATTACAAGCAGATATTTAATTGTCTGCTGCATTGCTCTGGATATAATGTAACAAGTTTGCTTGAGGGGGGGTTGTACCTTTTTTTCCCAGTTTTGGTTTCAAGTTAATACCTGTGTAGAAATATGATTTTGTATATGCATAATCCCATTATGAGTGTGTTCATAATGAAATCTTTTAGAACTTTGTTTAAACAGCAAGTGGCACCTTTTTCTTTTAACGTATTGGTTGACAAAAATTGCATCTTACTCGCTTCTGATTTCTTGGGTCTACAAAAAGTTCATAGAAAATCTAGATAGTTCTTTTTTTGTTTTAATTTGGGAAAACTTTCTTGACTGTTGAGACAAATTAAATGTATAATCCATTCTTGAGGTTATTTTCCTCCCGCAAATCAGAGATGGTTAACTTTTTAAAGGTTCTGCCTTTCCAGAGAAGTTAGCACCATTCTTGTTCAGAGCAGTTTCTGAAAGTTTAAATGCCTGAGATAAGGCAAAAAACATCCCTTTTAATATTCTAAGCTTTTATTTAAGATCTCCTTTTTGGTTATCTTAATAGGTTCTCTTTGGACTTAGTACATTTAAATCAGTGATTATTAATACTGATTAATACACCCTCAATAGCTGTAGTAAATGAACACTGTTGGTGATTTCCAACCATGAAGGCTAGAAATAATTTGTCAGTTCCATGTTCTTCTGGAGTAAATTTGAAAAATGAGGTTGAAAGTTTTGATCACTTGAGATGTGCACAATTTTAATATAACTGAAAATAAAAGATAATCTTAACAATTTACAGTTTGAAGCAATTGGCTCACCCCTTATTTTCCCAGTAAGCAAGTGTCTGCCAGAAGTTGCAACTTAATTGCAAACTTTCTAACCTCAGCTTTTGGACCAATGAAAAATGAAGACCTGTAGATGCCCTTTCTGAATCGGTTTCTCCAATAGAGATTGATGATACTTTTGCCTTTTAGATTAAAACCATTTAAAAATAAATAAATACGGTGTTTTTTCTCCTTAAAAAAGTTACAGCTTTAACAATTTAGACACTTAAGAAGGCATCCATCCCCCTTCCTCCCCCCAGATATAGAAATGTTAATGTTTTCCAGAATGTGCCACTAGGACCTAGGAAAGTTCAGAAAGAAGGAGAGGCTGTTGAAAAATAAGATTGAGTTAGTCCAGTGTTTGAAATTCCAGGCTGAAGAAACAGAAAGAATCCCCTTCTACCTCTAGTAGTAATTTACAGGTTTTCCTGACTTAATGAATGGAAGATACCTCACTCAATGTCAGTGTGTAAAAGGTTTTCAGTCTCCATTAATGATGCCATTGTTTTTTTTAAACATCTCTCCTCCTTCCCCCCCTCCCGATTTTGTGGCAACTTGAGGGTTTCTTAGAGAGTAGATGTTGCTTTTGCAAACTAGAAAGTGTGGAAAAAAATGTTGATGATGAAGAAATGATGTGTGTAAAACTGTTTTGTGAATACCAAGGGATTCTTCAGCATGTTTCTCTTACTGTAGAGAGTAGGGCAGATGAATTGGGATGATGAATTCTTTAACAGTGATCGGAAAAACTTAAGCTTTGCTGCACATGATTTCCTGAAAAACAAACCAACCAACCCAACAAAACACAAAACAAAACCTACCCAGAAAGTCATTGATAAGTTGTTTTCTGATTTAGATAGGGTAATGTTTTCAAAAGGGTCTAAGGGCTTATCTACACTACCGGCCAGATCAATGGGTAGCGATCGATCCAGCGGGGGTCAATTTATCGTAACACGATAAATCAACCGCCAATTGCTCTAGCGTCGACTCCGGTACTCCACTTCAGC